CTTTGTGGCCCCATTTCTGAAGGTTGGCTCTGCATCTCGTGGTGCCAGAGCGCAGTCTGTTCAGCGCCTTCCAAGTCGCCCAGTCTTCTGTGTGCCCAGGGGGGAGTCTCTCATCTGGTATCACCCACGGATTGAGGTTCTGGGTTTGAGCCTGCCACTTTTGGACTCTCGCTTGCTGAGGTGTTCCAGCGAGTGTCTCTGTAGATCTAAGAAAACTATTTCTTGATTTAAGTCGTTGACGTGCTGGCTGATACCCAAACAAGGGATGAGCTGGAGATGTCTCTGCCTTGGTCCTTTCACTATTGGCTGCTACTTCCCAGCGGATGTAAGGTGGTGCAATACCGGCTAAGCAGTGTAATTTCTCCAGTGGTGTAGGGCGCAGACACCCCGTGATAATGCGGCATGTCTCATTAAGAGCCACATCCACTGTTTTAGTGTGGTGAGATGTGTTCCACACTGGGCATGTGTACTCAGAAGCAGAGTAGCATAGCGCAAGGGCAGATGTCTTCACTGTATCTGGTTGTGATCCCCAGGTTGTGCCAGTCAGCTTTCGTATGATATTGTTTCTAGCACCCACTTTTTGCTTGATGTTCAGGCAGTGCTTCTTGTAGGTCAGAGCACGGTCCAGAGTGACTCCCAGGTATGTGGGTGCGCTGCAATGCTCCAGTGGGATTCCTTCCCAGGTGATCTTCAGAGCTCGGGATGCTTGTCTGTTCTTAAGGTGAAAGGCACATGTCTGTGTTTTGGATGGATTAGGGATCAGTTGGTTTTCCCTGTAATAGGCAGTAAGAGCACCTAGAGCTTTGGAGAGCTTCTGTTCAACCATCTCAAAGCTAACTGCTTGAGAGTTAATGGCACGATCATCAGCATAGAAAATGTATTATTATTACATTTATTATTTTACTCTATTGTTACTGTTACTACTACTGTAATAATAACAGTAACAATAGAGTAAAATAATAAATGTAATAATAACAATAGAGTAAAATAATAAATGTAACAATAACAATAATAAATAGAGTAAAATAATAAATGTAATAATAGTAATAACAACAACAAAGTAAAATAATAAATAACATTGACTCAAGTATAAGCCGGGGAGACTTTTTCAGCCTAAAAAAAGGACTGAAAAACTAGGCTTATACTCAAGTATATACAGTATGTTTTTTTTCTTCTCAAAGTTGACACCCCACCCAAGTTATGGTCTGGTTTTTGGCAAATTTTGACACACCAAGCTCAAAAGGTTGCCCATCACTGATGTATGCTATGATCAATTGTTCTTGCTCTACATGGGACAAGCGGGGATCGAGACAGCGCAGAATGCTTGAAACCACCAAATGAGTCCAAGGCAACCCAGGGCCAGGAGCCAGGCTTCAGGTCATCCGGAAGGGCACCGTCCTCAAAAGATTAGGCTATCTGAATGAAATGAAACATTCTCTAATGTCAGCTCTCACTCACGAGGCTCTCTTTGCTCTTTGTTCGTGTGCTTACTGACACAAAGTAGAGTGAAGTACATGGATCTGATATGCACTGAGACCCAGCCTGTGCTAAGATTACAATGCCATCAGCGAAAATCATCGGATTTGTCTGACAGCGTGTGAGAGTTCAGAATATCCCTTCATGCTCTCCGGGATTATCGAAGCAATTTCTGGAGGATGTTATCAGATCTCTGTTGAGCTCCTTACAGATTTTAAGAATGGAACTAGTGTATTTTTCAGCTGACAGTGTCATCCCTATCTCCAGGACAGATCCCCGCACAGCCTGATATTCCGAATTATACCCGAAGGCCACTCCAAACAGCATGTACAAGCCCACCTTTCCAGGCCATAAATATTCCAGTCACACGGGCAGTCTTAATGCATGTCTGCTGAGCGGTGGCCAGTAAAACAACAAAATGACTGAAGTACACAACAAGGCCTTGGATCACCTCCCAAAAAGGTCAACATTAGCAGAACACATTCAAAATGTACAATATATGCAGCTTTTTTCAAAATTAGATATTCCAGTAAATGCATTTTAAGTCTTCTTATTTGTTTTAGAATCCTACATATATGAAAAGGGGCAGACTCCACCGATAAATATGATGTGCATGTGTTTTCATACGTACACAACCTATTATTTCATCTCAACCTTCCTAATGCCATGACCCCTTAATACAGTTCCTCATGTTGTGGTGACACCCAACCATAACATTATTTTTGCTGCTGCTTCATAACTTTACTACTGTTATGATTTGTCATGTAAATACCTCATATAAAGGATGAAATTTCACACAAATACTCGATATGCTCAAAATACTGGAAGGGTTTGCTGGGCATTGACCTTGAGTTTTGGAGTTGTAGTTCACCTACATCCGGAGAGCACTGTGGACTCAAACAATGATGGATCTGGACAGGCCCGTAGCCAGGATTTTGATTCGGGGGGATCTGAGTTTGATTCAGGGGGGTGGGGCTGAGTCTGAGTGAAAGAGGGTCTACCCTAGCAAATCTTTTGTATCGTTACCCCAATACCCCCATGTATATGAGAAATATTGAGCATGGTGATCAGATCATGATATGAATAACATAACAGTTTAAATAATGTACCAGTAAGGCCTTCTCGCAGACCACCATGAGAATATCGGGGGGGAGGGGTTAAGCCCCCCAAGCCCCCCCCCCCCGTCTACATTCCTGGATCTGGACCAATATGCCCAAATGTGAACACAGGTGGAGTTTGGAAAAAATAGACCTTGACATTTCAGAGTTGTAGTTGCTGGGATTTATAGTTCATCTACAAGCAAAGAGCACTCTGAACCCAGCCCAAAATGGATCTGCACCAAACTTGGCACACTATCTACATGGCCAACGTTGTATACTGGTGAGGTTGGAGGGCTGCTTTTGAATTCTGGGAGTTGTAGTTCACCAACACCAAAAAGGAAGAGGACAGGTGGAGAGATCTTCAGCCTTCTTTGCCAAAATGTTTCCTAAGACCATCAGAAATACGTATTTTCTGATGGTTTTTGGTGACCTCTCTGAAACCCCCCTCGCAACCCCCCAGTTGAGGTTGAGAAACACTGCAGTAGAGCATCTTTCCTCTTGAAATCCGGTTACTTCCTCCTGAAGAATTCTGGGGTTTGTAGTTTAGCCTTTAAACTGCTTAGCCAAAGGGGCCCTGAGCCTCACTAAACTACAAAACCCAGAATTTTGCAGGAGGCAGCAACCGAATTTAAAGTGGATAGTTGCTCTCATGTGATGGAGTTACTACTCTCCCCATCATTTCTCAAATTTTGCATTTAGCAAGAAATGAGTGGCATTGATTGGTTCAGGGATAACCAGTATGGCCTGGAAGCACTGGGGATGTGTTCATAGGAGGGAGAGAAACAGAGAATGTAGCTGAGAGTGAAAGTATGTGTATGCAAAAGAGGAAATCAAATGTACACATGAAGACTACTTCTTTAGAAACTGAAGATCCCTCCCTTTTATCTTTCAGGCCACGGATGAACTGTGAGATGAAGCAGCTGCAGCCTTTTCCCACTCCCCACCCAGCCGTTTCTGCATTGACTTCCTCCCAAGCCTGCTGTTGGGTGCAAGGCTCCAGATGTGTCATGCAGATGTTGGGGGAGAGGGGAGAGAGAAGGATCAGGGGGAGAGGAATTAGAGAGAGAAGCTGTGGCAGCCTCAGCTCTTGGCTGACAGCAGCAAATATAAAGGCAAGCAAAGCAGCTCCAAGTTGCAACCTTGTACTAGCCAATAATAACACTTTTTATAATAATAATAGTAATAGTAATAATAATAATAATAATAATAATAATAATAACCCTTTATTTGTACCCCGCTACCATCTCCCTAAGGGTGCGGCTTACATGAGGCCGAGCCCAAATACAACAATACAAGCAATAATAACAACAATACAAGAAATTGAAATTAAAAAACATAGACAATAAAATATGCAACAATTAACAATAAGACAACACACAATTAAAAACTGTGGGAAGGCCAAATGTAAAGTTAAAATTGGAAATGATTCTGGGACACGGGTGAAAAGGTGAAAGTGGCGTTTGTGGAAAACATACAAGCAGACCTAATATGTAAAGTGCTTTGGAGGACAAAGTGCTATGGGATCATTATTCTGGGAAGGCATACTGGAACAACCACGTCTTCAAACTCCTCCTAAAGACTGCCAGAGTTGGGGCCTGCCTGATGTCCTTAGGGAGAGAGTTCCAGAGTTGAGGGGCCACCACCGAAAAGGCCCTCTCTCTCGTCCCCACCAGTCGCGCCTGTGATGCAGGTGGGATCGAGAGCAGGGCCTCTCCAGATGATCGAAGAGATTGTGCAAGTTCATATACGGAGATGTGGGCATGCAGGTAGGCGGGTCCCAAACCGTTCAGGGCTTTGTAGGTAAGAACCTGCACCTTGAATTGGGTCCAGAAAATGAATGGCAGCCAGTGGAGCTCCTTAAACAGGAGGGTTGACATCTCCCTGTAAGGAGCACCAGTTAAGCAAAGCAGCTCCAAGTTGCAACCTCGTACTAGCCAAGGTGAGACCTTAGGCACACCTGTGTTGGACTGCCTACCACTGTGTTTTTAGTGTTGAGGAAGCAAAACACTGAGGGAAAAACAAGTGCTTTTGATGGAAGATGGCAGATAATGCATGCAATCTTTTCCCAGGGAGACCCTTTATAGCAACCATTTCCATAACAATAGGCAGCACCTAGACTTCAGGACTCTGCCAGGCTACATAATTCCATTCTTAAGCCACGAACATCAAGGCAGCCTGGCACATGAAGCCAAACCGAATGCCATGTGCAGCAATCTGGGGAGGAAGCTCCCAATTAGGATCCGCACTGTAGTAAAACACAGCATTACGCACAGGAAGAAAATAATTATGCCTTTCAGAAATCCACATGTGTATTTGCCAGAGGAAAAAAAAGAGATATACAGAGGCTAAGAGAAAAATACAGAAGAATGCCTTTCTGCGTGAATGACAGGAATGGGTAAAAGAAGGGGGCTTTGCTTCACTTACTGTTCTCAGAGAGCTCAACGATGTAGTGAAGGACAGGGCTGTTTCCATCGAAGGGACGCACCCAGGAGAGGATGACGCTGCGGCTGAAGGAAGAGTTCAAGGTGGCCAGAAGGTTCTGGGGCGGGTGAGGCAGTTCTCTAGGGGAGAGCAAAGACAGGCCGATGCCAATCAGACAGGTGCAAAAACACAACTTACCCTTTGCAGGAACTCACAACCAAATGTCATCATATGAAGCATTTACAAGTTCAGACATCGAATGGATGCCATTGTGCATATACACCTTTCAGTCTAGTCTAGGCATGGGCAAACTTCGGCCCTACAGGTGTTTTAGACTCCAACTCCCACAATTCCTAACAACCTCAGGCCCATTCCTTTCCCGCCTCAGCAGCCTAAAGCCCTTTCACAATACTGGTTCGATACTTATTCTGCGCAGAATTTGGACATAGTCGCTTTTCTCAGAAAACAACAATCTGTGCACAGAAATTTCTGTTTTCCTAACAAAATTCTGTTCTCCTGAGGGCTGAGAAAAGCGGTATATAAATAAAGTAAATAAATAAAATGATTGGCTTGCATAAATCAAATGTTTTCTGCACAGGAAAGGCATTCATGTTACAGCAAATAGTATTTCTGAATTGAAACATTATTTTCTGTGGAGAAAAAAGAAAAATTCCTATGCTGAAAGTGATGAATTTTTTTGTACCAAATATTTATTTATTTACTTCATTTATATACCGCCTTTCTCAGCCCTCAGGCGACTCAAAGCGGTTAACAACAGCAAAATTAAATGCAAAACATCATAAAATGATTATGGGACAGCTAAAACAATAGCATTATCAACAATCAAACATCAATATAACAATCATTAACGTCTCATCAGTAAAATCAGAATCCAATCTCATCATCCGTCAATCCGTGTTCCTATATTCATTACACTGCTTAATCAAATGCTTGTTCGAACAGCCAGGTCTTCACTTTCCTCTGAAATGCCAACAGGGATGGGGCTGATCTGATATCTATAGGAAGGGCGTTCCACAGCCGAGGGGCCACCACTGAGAAGGGACTGTCTCTCGTTCCTGCCAGGCGAGCCTGTGATGCAGGCAGGACTGAAAGCAGGGCCTCCCCAGATGATCTTAATGTTCTAGTTTGCAAATAGTCTTTGAAAACTGTACATTCCTGAGACTACCTTCTAACAAAGGTCTGGAAAAACTGTACATTTCTGAGACTATCTTCTAACACAGGCCTGGGCAAACTTCAGCTTTACTTTGGAGGACTATTTTTGAATTCTGGGAGTTGCAGTTCACCAACACCAAAAAAAAAAAGAGAAGGACAGGCGGAGGGATCTTCAGCTTTCTCTGCCAAAAGGTTTCCTAAGACCATCAGAAATATGTGCCTATCAACTGTTCGGAATTGTGGGAGTTGGAGTCTAAAACACCTGGAACGTTGGAGTTTGTCCATGCCTGGTTTAGTCTATGAGTAGAATAAAATATTCAGAGTAAAGCTAAAGTTTTGTCCAGTTCCCAAATGATGATTTACACAGAAACTCCTAAGTTTGACGCTTAAATCGCTAATGGCACTGTTACTTACCATGGGGAAAAAGCCAATTTTCAAATGTGTTTTTTTTTAATTGAGAGACTTGGTCCATAAATTCTTTTTACAGCAAGTTCTCAGTAATGGAATAGCTGTAAAACATATGAACAGGGGACCAAGAAGGCGGGGAGACAGATGATTTAAAATGGAATTTTTTCAGACTCAAGAAAGCAGAAGACATTTCTGCCGTCCATTTAGCACATCCAGTCAAAAATATTATCCATACCCCTAGGTCTCAACCATGGAAAAGCCCTCAGCAGCCTGTGCTCACACTGGCATAGCATTAAAGTAGTAGTGTTGTTTTCAAGAAGAGTACAAGTACACACACATACACGCTCATACAAAGAGGTAAACAACTTGAAAACATCAGCTCCAGTCTGATCTTGCAAACCAAGACAAGACAGGACTGGTTACTACTTGGACAAGAGACACTGGATCCCAAGTGCGGTAGTCTGCATTTCAGGAGAAGGCTTTGGGAAAACCATCTCTGAGTATTCTTTGCCTAAGAAAAAACTATGAATTAAGAAGGTTGCCATACGCTGACAGGAAACCTGAAGGCACATCCAAGCACACTCGAGAGTAAAAATGCCAAGGTTAAATAGGAAACCTGAAGGCATATACGTACGCACACACTCAAGAGTAAAAATATGAAGGCTAAATAAAGTGTTTAAAAACAAACCATATTTTGGCTTAAGGGGGAGAGGATATTCTCTCTCTCTCTCCCTCTCTGTAGAGTTGTTGTTAACAAGAAAAAGAGTACAAGTACACACACACTCCCACAAACTAATACACTAGCCATGAAATGCATTGTACCTCCAATCGTCCCAATTTGGCGGGGATAGTCACAATGAATCCCCTTTCATCCCACTCTGTTTTCAAAACATTCCAGTTTCTCTTGCCTTCTCCCACTTATCTCTTTTATTTGAAGTTTATCTGTATTCCTGCAAAACTAATTCAACACGTAAAAGTGTTTTGCACTCGATTAATTCAGTCGAGAGGACAGGAAGGGTGGAATTCCTCCTTCCCAATAGGCTCAAGCAAAAGCAAACTGCTGCAGCCTGTTTGTGCATTCATGTTATTTATTATTTATTTAGAGGTTTTCTATACCGGCCTTCTCACCTCGACYAGGGACTCAGGTCGGTTTACAGCATGTATAAAATACAATCATATAAAAAACAGCAAGTACAAATTAATTACATATTAAAATAGTGCAATACAGTACAATTAATACCTTTTTATATCTTGACCATTGCCTGATATTGCTTAGCCATGTGTCCTGGYTTTGTGTTGTTGAAGGCCAGAATCARTGGATTGCTGTGAGATTTCTGGGGTGTATGACCATGTTCCAGAAGCATTCCCTCCTGATGTTTCACCTACATCTATGGAAGGCATCTTCAGAGGTTGTGAGGTTTGTTGGAAACTAGGCAAGTGAGGTTTATATATCTGTGGAATGATGTCCAGGGTGGGAGAAAGAACTCTCTGTTGGAGGTAGGTGTGAATTRATTTATTTATTTATTTATTTATTTATTTACAGCATTTATATTCCGCCCTTCTCACCCCCCAGGGGACTCAGGGCGGATTACAGTGTACACATATATGGCAAACATTCAATGCTGATTTGACATACAACATATACAGACATACACAGAGGCTATTTAACTTTTTCTGGCCGCCAAGGGAGCTGTCGCTTTCATCGTCCATCTGCGATACTGATGAAGTACTTCCGCATTCCCTGCATGCTTTTTTGCTGGAGTGCTTTGCTGGAGTCTTTTTTATGGCCTCATAAATCAGTTAATTTAGCCTCCCCACACTTTTAAGGTGGTGCCTAATTTTCCTACTTGACAGATGCAACTGTCTTTTGGGTTGCAAAGGTTGACAACAGGCTACACACAATTGGTTGGAAACCCACTCCAACCCGGGCTGGCTTCGAACTCATGACCTTTTGGTCAGAGTGATCTTAATGCAGCTGACACTCAGCCAGCTGTGCCACAATCCCAGTGAATGTTGCAATTGGCACTGAATAGTCCCCAGTGGTGCAATGGGTTAAATCTTTGTGCTGGCAGGACTGCTGACCAATAAGTTAGCGGTTCAAATCCGGGGAGAGTGCGGATGAGTTCCATCAGCTCCATCTCCCCATGTGGGGACATGAGAGAAGCCTCCCACAAGGATGATAAAACATCAAAACATGCAAGCGTTCGCTGGGCATCGTTATTGCAGATGGCCAATTCTCTCACACCAGAAGCAACTTGCAGTTTCTCAAGTCACTCCTGACATGAAAAAAGCATTGAATAGCTTTGCTAGCTTTGCAGCTTCAAATCCTGGCTGCTTTGGGTTTCATCTGAAAAATGTTGGTGTGTATGAGAAATACACACACACACACCACTCCAGCAAGAATTGCAGAAAATAATCTTTGACCCTATTACTTTGAACTAGAAAGCATCTGGAATGCTATTTTACAAGTTATCGCCATGAAGGACTACACTGGTAAAATCCTGACAAGTAACTGGGACAAATAACACGACCTTAAGAGGCAATCTTTAGCATTTCACTCTCTTCCAGGCTTCTGTCAATAGGAGCCAAAGATCCTCGTCTTCAACTCATGAGCTGTGCTCACATCCCTAGGTGGTAGACCCAATAAATGTTGATTTTGTTGGCCTTGAACTGTTCCTCCATCTTTCCCATCAAACACTAGGTCTAGCTTTGGGATTTTCTGCCTCAACTTCATTGGGAATGGTAGCTCTCCCAATCAGAGATCCTTCTGGCCTTTCTCCACCCTCTCACTTCTGAATGAGGAAATGCCAACCAGCCAAGCAATTTGTCACTGACTGGAAGTTATCTCTCAAGATCAATGACTGCTGACCCTTGCTGGTCATCCCCAAAGCAGTAACTGTACTTGACATGCTTTAATTAAAAAATGTACTCATTTCTTTTCATAATTTATTACGATGCTGCTGCACCCTTAGCACTCTCTGAAACCACAAGTCCAGATTCATAAACAAGTTCAATTCCAGGCCCCAGAATGTGGTATTAAATCAGAGCTGTAAAAAGCATGCTTTGAATTTCAGATTTCTTCTCGCTGTTGAAGTGAAGAGAGGGGAAATGAATTTAATTTTGTATTAACTTTGAACCACGGCCCATAGCTTATTACAACCCATACTAGGCTGCACAACCTGAGCCGAAAAGCAAAATTATGTTTGAGTTGGTAAAAGCGATTACAGGAAAGTCTGTCCTGACAGTGTTTATTAAGCTCCAAATCAAAAGAGGCACCCTTCTGCCAAATGAAGCAACAGATGCTCTGGAGGAATGGTACAGCAGCCTAAAGGGGCATTGGCTTAAAATGAGTACAAAGGTAAATAAAATAAAATAAAATTCTGGGAATGCAAGAAATTACACCTCTGGGCTATATTCAAGGTATGTATGGCAGTTGTGCCAAATGATCCCACAGTGACAATGTCACTAAAATGCTGCATAGTCAATTTATTTTATTTGTCGTGTCAGGGCAACCAGTCAATTCTTTTACATTTCTAAAAGAACAAAACAAACAAACAAA